AAGCAATGAAAAGATGTATATTTACTTTGTGTGTGTGTTTTGGCAGCGTCCATTAAAATCCTTTGGATGTGGATTTGTAACTGTAAGTGTGTGTGTGTGTGTGTGTGTGTGTGTGAGTATGTGTGTGTGTGTGGGAGGCCTCTGTCTCATGCACAATATGGTACAAACTATAAAACAGAGATAAAAACTAAAGTGTACGGGAGAAGAAACAACAACAAAGGAAAGAATGAAAAGTGGAGAGACACCAGAGAGAAACTAGAAGAGAGAAAGACTAGAAAGGAAAAAAAGAGAGAAGATGGGAAAAATAAGAGGGTAAAGGACAAAAGAAATAAAAATGACGATGATGACTGACTGAAAGAAAAAACAAAATAGAAGGTAGGGAATAGAAGGGAGAAAAAGGAGGAAAGGTTAAGGAAAAACAGAAGGACAAGTGAAAATACAAGGAAAGACTAAATAGACAAGAAAGATAAGAGAAAGGAAAGGATGAAAAAGTAACTGAATACAGAAGAAGAAAACTCAAGACAAAAAGAGACAAGGTACGAAATAAATAAAAAAAGAAAAGACAAGACAGGAGATAGTCAGATAGGCAGACTGTAAAGGAAAGACAGAAAGAAGAAAGAAATATAAGAAGGAAAGGAAAAAATTAGGAAGAAGGATGGAACAACGGCAAGAAAAACCAAGATAAAAAAGAAAAGGATGAATAGAACTATACAAAGAAGACAGAAGAGATAAGAATGAAAGTACAACAAGGTAAAAAAGGGAAAGTGAAGGAACGGGGTAAAAGAGAGGACAGAGAGAGAGAGACAGAGAGAGAGAGAGAGAGAGAGAGAGAGAGAGTAGGACAAGAAAGACAAGAAAGCAAATTAAGTACAGAGTAAACAGATAAAATAAAAGAAAGAAGAAAAGGCAAATTAGAAAAGATGTAAATAAGCAGAAAAAGAAACAACATGAAAAAGTCACAAGGAAGGAAAGAACAAGGTTCAAAGAGAAGACAAGATGGAAAGATGAAGAAATAAAATGAAGGAAGGAAGCAAATAATGAGGAGAACATGGTGAAAAATATAAAGATGTAACGATTGAAACACAACAAAAGGACAGAAAGAAAGAAAGAAATAAAGAAAGAAGACAGACGATAACACATGATGAATAAACACTGTACAGCAGGATATCTAACACTCACACACACACACACACACACTCCCTCCCTGTGTATCTTAGGACCGATAAACAAGCAGTGCAGAACCCAGAATCCCCTGTACCTCTCCATGTCTGTCAGCCGCGACGAGTCCCGGAAACCTTTGGCGAACGGGTTGCTGTCAATCTTCAGTTTGGTGATCTGGGAGACGCAGCAGGAGAGCGAAAAGGGTCAATGTCTCTCCTTTTTATGTACAACCATTACTCCATCTGGCCATTTGTTAGCTACTGCAACAGGCAGCATGCACGGCCCGCACATGTGCACTGAATGAAGGTCTGAGTGGCCAAAATATTACGTTTATGAGCTTTAATTACTGATATAAGAATGAAAGTTTAACTGGGACAACGAGACCCTTCACAATGGGGATAAAGAGAAGAAACCTTCTGTACAGCCACACTCTTTTCATACCACAGCAAAAAGAAGAACAAATCCTAGGCACACAATATAGAGCTTTTTTTAAACTAACAACCTGAACACGTAATGAGGACCAGTTCATTTTGTTCCCTCTTGGTCCGTCTGTTTTTATAGCTTTGGTACATTTAATACAATCAAATGATAGTATTATATATAGTATATAAATATATCATTTTCACTTTCACTTCTAACAACTTTATTACAGAGTGGAGCTTCTTCCTCCACATATGATCTTTGGCTGAATACTCTTTGTATTAACGCTCTGTTAATGGCTGTTGTTGGTTATTACGCCTTTAACTTTAGTCAGTCATGAATATTTGATGTTGTGGAAGAAAAGTGTTCAGGGGCTGTAAAATTGTGAGCACAGTTGCTGAAGCAAGATTTAGACTCACCATTTCTTTCTTTAATGTATTCTATGATCTTTGCAAATTTAAGTTATTGTGTAGTCACAAGCTGCTTCTACCAATGCAATAAGAAAATTAAATGTTACATTTTGATCATTTTTACCAAATCTGGAGATAATAACCTCATCCATTAATCCTAAGGAACCTCTCAGGGTTTTTAGCCTAGTAACAGGTCCACGAGGAACTGTAAAGTGCCTCATGTGAGAGACGTTCAGGTGATCAATATGTGGAACTCCATCACTGTAAAGTTATGTTTCAGAGAGGGATATGTCATGAACGATCTGGTGCTTGTCATTGAGTTTTATGGTGATTTGATTGTGTTTTGTGCTGTTCAGTAAACTGTTCAGTATCAAATGTCATTTCATGTAGCTGCTCTGGAGCGTTCCCATCGTACCACATGATCAACTTTTAAGCCGACATGGACGAGGAGTAAAGGAAAGAAAAATAGAAATTTTGACCATCGACTAAACGGAGCTTGTAGCTAGTTTATTGATTTAAAACGTCATGGGAGCTAACAGCTCAGTTTGGCAGTTAATCCAAAGAAGAAGAAGAGACAAGAGGCCTATAATATGGCCCACGTCAGCCGTCAATCACTCACCAGCTGGTTCTGATAGGCCGTGACGGCGGTGAAGACGGTCTCAACGAAGACGAAGGTGCGGAACTCCTCAGACTTGAGGTTGAGCAGCGAGGCGGTGTGGTCCTTCTTCTTGATGATGTGGACCCGCGGCTGGTACTTGTGCATGGAGTTGAGGATGATCTGCAGAGGACAAGCAGAGACACAATCACTGACACTGAGGACACAGTCTAACCAGAGGAAATACATCAGGGTCCGGTCTGGGCTGGTCTGCTGGAATCCCCTTTTAACACCTGCGAACTCAAAGTGAAAAAAACAACCAGAGTAAAATCCATATCTTCATTTATTACATATAATTCAAACTTCAGCTTTAGCTTTTAGGCAAAAATACGTTAACAAATCGTTAAAGTGACCCAAAATAATGCTAATTTTAACATCTATAATTCCACAAGAAGTGGACAAGCTCCATCTCCTGATGAAGAGCGTGTCATAAGATCATATGCTCCACAACCGCTACTAAACAGACCTTCTGTTAAAGGGTTGTTTTCAGGCCTGCATCATCATTCTATTCCTTCTATTTAACAAAAATGTTGTCAATAAACAAGAAAATAAACAGAGTCTAATAATAAAATAAATGAGAAGAAATGAATAAATATTGAAATAAACAGAGACTTTTTGTAAATGGTAAATTAAAGCCCTTTCACACTGGGCACTTGCATTGTTTCTTCATCGCTACTGACTCTGCGCAGCTTTGCATATATTTTGAAATGAAAATATCCAAACAAATATCCGACACAACTGACGTACTGGTCTGGGCGAAAAGGGGAGGGTAAGAACAACAAAGACATGGGAAAACAAAAAGGAGGGATGAGGGAGGGAAAAATTAGCTCGCAAAATGAAAGAGAGACGAAGAACAAAGCGAGAGAAGAACAAAAAGACAGAGGGAGGAATGGGGTGAATAGAGAGAGAGAGACAAGTGTGAACAGATAAAGTTGTTAACACTGCAGCAGCTCCAGGTGAGAGTTTCCCTCCACAAGCGTTCCTGTCTGGCTGCAGCCCAGGAAAGTGTTTTAACCTGATAGGACAGGTGCAGAGGACGCGAGGCTTTCTGGGTCAATGAGCTGAACTACATTCAGCTGCAAGGATGCACCATGGGATGGATCATTTGATTTGTAGTAAAATAAAGTAAAACAAAAAGAGTAAGACAGATTTAAAGTGTTACTTTATATTGATCAAATCATTTATCCATACAAATGCTCGTTTTTTCTGGATGGTATACATTTTTAAGATATTTTTGGGTGTTCATTTTCATTTGTTTTTGGATGCTGTCTGATCATAATATAATTAGGAATATTATTTCTGCATTTAGATTAAAATAATAATTATCAAGGAGTTTTATTTTTCAACATTCATTTAGTGAGGAAGGCTATCTTAAATAATGACCTCAATTATCTCTTCTTGGGTACATCGTTTCTTCTTAAAGCAGCATTTTTACCACATAAACTGTGTTTAAAAGCGAATATAAAATCAGCTCTATTACTGTATATTCACTGTAGGAATCAATAAATGTAAATAATAAAAGTGAAATGGCCTAAATAAAAAAACTATATGTCACTTTGGTTCTGTGTGCTCTTATTGTATTATTTGTTGTAGTTACTTGCATGTAAACAGTGACAAGAAGCTACTTTTGGACGAGTAAAAAAAAGGTGTGACACACACACACACACACACACACACACACACACACAGATAATAATGACCTTGTTTCCCAGGCTGTGTCTTACTGTTGGCTTTTAATGGATGATGGTTAAATGCTTTTTTCGGTTGTGAAATGTTTTTCTCTTCCATGCTTGGTCTTGCCTGAAGCCTTCAGTGAAAGCAGGATTAAAGGAGCAATTTGCTCTTGTCAGGCCAGTCATTTAACGTCACACTGGCCTTCAAAGTTCGGTTTTTTTTTTTTTTTAAATAACCTTTATAACTTGTAGAATGAACTTTTTAAATGTTTTTACATTTAGTTTGGTCAATATGCAAACTTAGCCTGAATAACTTTAACCAGAAGACACACGTTTAAAACTGGCGAGTCGTTTTAGATGCAGTTTTATAGGTTAGGCGATTTAAAGCTGCCTTTCTAATATACCGGCAGGTTTGTGTCTATTTTAAAGCCTCTATAAACATTACCGATAACGTGGGTTAATACGAGAGCTGTTTACAAAAAAATAAAATTGTAATAAAGAAACAAGTTCTCACATGTCCGTGTTGGTCCAGCTCGTTGTTCGTCAGTTTGACTTTCTCGAAGGAAACCATCTGCTTCATCAGCTGCTCTCCGGTGAACGGTGAGTCCGGGTGCACGTACAACCTGCGGTAAGAAGCAGAAGAGCAGCGGATCACATCCTCGCCTCTGATTGGCTGAGAGGCGTTCGAAACGGAACGTTCGGTGCCCAATCGGCGCACAGCTGTGACCGGGGCGAACTGGAACGTTCCAGGTCGCTTAGCAACCGCGTTCTATCTCCCTGTTAAAGAACGGCTGAGTTAGAACTTTAAGACGGTTTTTAAGGGTTTTTTTTAAAGCGTGTTTCGATATTGCGACACGAGATTAAAAAAAATAAAATAATTAAATACATTTATTTGAAAGGAAACTAATTTTCGGACCAACAAGTTACATGAATTGCCTAAATGAATTAAATTCTTTGTCAGTCCGTGTATTGAACACTTTACCAAAAAAAAAAAAACATAATTGCCCAAACAATATTTTCTCTACATATTTACTCCTCGATCATTCCTCCATTTTTTAAATTTTAATTGAATTAAGCATATTTGAAGCTTATGTTGATGCATTAAGGGCCTTAACCCGGATTTTCTAAATATTAAGGTATGAGTCCCTTAATATATCCTATCACCCAGCATGAAGCCGGGTTTCCTTCATTTATCTACATATTTTATCAGGCTAAAAGTGGTGCGATTTGAGTGCATTAAGTCTAAAACTACAGGAATCTGCACACAGAGGCCTGACCTTTTAATTGTAGAATGTAAACTTCCCATAAATAGTTCTAAAAAGAAGAAGCAGTGCAGGCCTGGATGGGTGGCACACATCTGACATCTTCACAACATCAATCAGCATCAGCACGGAATGAACGTTCCCAGATGCTTCCTGCTAAAGATTGAATTATTTCATCCTCTCAGTCACACGGCGGGGGCCTCGCACCGCGCTGGGCTCCGGTTTTTCTCCACGAGTTGCTGATAACGTTTTATTTATTTTTTTAAAAGAGAAAAATCCTAAATATGACACATTTACCACAGTGACTGGACGTTTGTCAGCGCTGTACAGTATTAACAGCAGCACCTGGAGCAGTAATCCAGCCGGTGAATGGCGCCAGGTAACGTAAATAAACATCTTCGATCCTTCCAGTAAAATAAGACGAACCTCATTGGAAATACAGAACTTTAAACCTCAAAGCTTCATGGTTAAATAAATCAATATAGAATGTTTGCTTTATTTGCCCCAATGAATTTTGAGATTCTGGAAATATTTTGTAATTTTTCTGCATGTTCTTTGCTTCCAGCGATGGGGGAAATAAATGAATATGTCTTTATGGTGGTCTCTCATTGAGGACTCGGTTCAGGTGGACTCTGAGAGCTGTGCAGGGTGGGGTCTCTGTACCTGGCGGGCAGAGGAGGGTCGGCCTTTCCGGCCACCAGCCAGGAGGAGCGGTGGTAGGCGTACCGGTACCGCTTATTATCCACCGGGACGATGTCCATCAACACGATGTACTTGGAGTCCTGGTCCACCCCGGAGAAAGAGACCCGGATGGTGGGGAACATCCTCCTGGTGGAGAGGTGACAGGTGATATTGTTGTTAGTAATGCTGACTGCACTTCACAACGAATCATAATTCAAATCAAATAAAGACAGTCGACCGTTTACCTTCCAGATCAGGTGTGTGTTTAATGGCAGAATCAAATCATTGTTATATATATATATGCACACCCCATGTACACAAATATATTGTGTACAACACAGTCTTAACTAGAATATACACGATTCAGTAGCCAATTTAAAAAATTTGATGCACTCTTATTCAGAGCTGGAGTCAGAAGTTTTAAAAGGTCATGTCGGCTCCAACTCACATCTCTCTTCTTAGAAAATCATGACACTAACAGGAAAGTCTGTTCAGTTATTGAATATTGAATTATTTGTATTTTTTTTTTTCCTAAATGTGATTTCAAAGCCTCACAGGAAATAAAATTCTGTCCGGAATAATTGAATTTTACTGTCTTAGAATCATTATTATTATTATTATTATTATTATTATTATTATTTAGTCTAAAAATATGCTGCTAAAATGAGCCAATTAAATGCGTATAAAGTGTATTTATTTTAGACCCTCCAGGTTGCTGAAACCTCGCTGTCCTCTGTGGTAACGTCCGGCTTTAGAGGCCACGTTGTGCAGAAATATATTTATTTAATTACACAGATTTATAAGCCTATAATAATATGGAATAGTTACAAATACTAACCTACATGTTTATTTAGACTATTTATTTGGCTCTGTTGTTTTTCAGAATAGAATTAAATATCTGTTTCTTTCGATAACTGAACTAAATGCAGGTCTATATGCCCTTGCTCTTTGTTCACAGGGCTGTAAGCTGACTAAAACATTATAACGGCACGTTTAAATGAGCTCTGCAGGTCAGGTGAGTCTGCAGGTGAGTGTTTGGATCTCCCACCGAGAGCTGCAGATGAGCTTTATTCTTATTTGAGACATTTTAGACCCTGAACACCACAACAGGACAACACACGCTGTCCTTGTTTTACAGTAACAGTAAATGACCTTGTAGAAGATTCTCTTAGCTACGGCATCTTTATTATTATCTCATTTATCTATGTAGAATTTAATGCTATGTTTATTTAGTGTGTTATTGTTGTTGTTGTTGTTGTTGTTGAGTCGCCTTTAATGGGACTTTTCTCGGCCGTTTACCTTCCAGACTTGGTGATGATCATCTCGGTGCCGAGCTCGTGAAACTTGTCCCACAGCTCTTTGGTCTCCAGGCTGCACGAGATCTTCGCCATCTCCTCGCTAGGGATGCCGGGATTGGTGGGGATGAGTGGCTCCGTGCACACTGCGGGCGCGCTCCCGCTGAAGTCCCCGTGCCCGTCCAGGGAGGACAGGTCCGCGAGGGACTGCTGGTTGCACGAGGACTTTTCCACAAATTGTTCTTTATTTTTATTTTATGGAAACATGAGAGAAAAAGAGAAATAATACAGCAGTGTGAGGATGATTTTCATTTTATTGTCTGTGACAGCAGCAACATCGAGGAATACAAAGAGAGATATACAGTTATAATCGGATAAAACAGCTATATAGTTTAAAATATTTGTCTTTTTATTGTTATTATTAATATTATAGATGATCCTGTTCCATGTGAGTCTGCAGGACAATGGGAAATAATAAGGGGAATAACATTTAGCTATTTATTACACATTTTAGTATTTAAAGCTCTAAAGCGTGTTTATCGTTAAGGGGAAAGAAACTCAAAATATAAAAATAAGTTAAATTTAAAAAATGAGGATCTGCCAGTGTTTTATTTTTATTATTAGAAAACCTCCCAGTTAAAGTTGACGCAGGTTAATTCATGTTGGGGGGATTTCTGTTCAAACATTTTGTAAAATAAAAGCTTCAAACGCCCCAAAATAAATTCCTTGTAGAGAAAATAAAATGTAATAACATTCATATTGATACTGTCTGTTTGTAGAGCTCTGCTCCAAAATCCAGTGAGGTGAAGTATTTATTTTATTAGATATGGATATTTATTAAGATGACCTACTTTGTAAATCTAACATCCCTTCAGAAAAGAAAAAAAAACTAATATAAAAATAGTAATAGTTAAATTCTTATGACTCAATTTTAAACTATACTCTGGTACCTGTCACATAAATACAAGGAGCTATTTTTAAATATATCTGTGAACTTAAAGGGATGTTACGGGCTTTTCCAATCACCTTTTTCACTTATTTATTTATTTGAAAATAGTCTAAAGCCCAGACTGTTTACCTCCCTGTCATCAGACACTTCATTTATTTGCCTTTTGCTGTTTTCTCAAGTGGTATCTGTTTTCCTCTCTGCTGCAGCCTCCTCACATTGCATGCTGCACCTCGCTCAAACCTTCCATTGACTCTCAGGATTTCTGCGTAAAACAACTTTAACAGCTGCAATCTTACGCACCAGTTCCCCCTGAATTAAACTCGAATTAAGTTTTCTATTTAATGTCTCGACCCGACCCTCTTCCATCCTTACCGAGAGGCTTGATGGTGTTCTCCTCCGTCTCTTTGTCCTTATTGGGCTTTCCGCTGGACATCAGGGCGGCTATGGAGAAAGCGTTTGCCCGGGATGAGAGCTGCGGTTTCGGGGATGACGTGTACTCCATGTCGGTGAAAAAGACTTGGACCAAAATATTCCCCTTTAAACGAATAAAGAAAAGAAAAAAGCCTCCAGAAAGGCTCAACTCCGCCTGTTTTTTGGCTCCCAGCGGAGGAAAGAAAAAAAGCGCAGGAAAAATACGCACAGCTTTGCTCCTCGATTACACTCTTTTCTTTGCGCACAATCTGCTCGCTCAAACGGATAAACACTCGCCACACTGGAAAACACTTGTCACTGCCGAGTTGTGAGTCTTGTTGGATGCATGTTGAAGGAAGCAGGAGGGGACTGACTCCACTGACTTGTGCGCGTCCTGCGGTGCCAGATCTGAGGCCGGCTGCTCTTTGGGAAGCTTCAGTCCGATTCACCCTCCCCTTATAATTCCAGTCTGCCCTCCAATCACTGCCTCTGCTTCCACGTCACACTCCCACTGTCCCAGCAGCTCTGATACCGAGCAGCCAATTAAAAAACCTGGAGCTGTCAGAGGGTTTTTTTTTTTCATGTCAAAGACCCCGAAGAGAGTGTGTGGTTAAAGAGGAATAATATGGGAGATCTTTATGACTTTATACTGTCTGTACTGGGGGTGTTGACAGTGGGAAATTACAAGGAAATTGTAATTATTTGCTCTCATTGCTGAAGTATTACGAAGGGAAATAACAAGTGAAATTTACTTTACGTTAGTAGCCCTCTTGTGGACCCCTGGAGGGCCCCCAGACCACATGTTGGGAATCACAAACCCAGAATGTCAACAGTAGAGACGTTTGCCCAAGATGGTGCTATTTGATAATTAATGGCAGCAGTGAGGCCATGATGACAGCTTTGATACACACATATTTTGATTTTATAAAGTCCCACAAAGATTCAGTATCCACTCCTGTTAGTATCATCGCACAATGTGGAAGAAATTCAGAGGTGCTTAAAATTTTTGGTTTGAAATTATCAAATGATTTTTAGTGGAACACATTCTGAGTTACTGCAGAAGATTTTAATATGTTCCAACATATAAAATATGAACAGCATGTAGCATGTTGTTTACTAAAGCAGGGCTCTTCGTGTATATATATATTATATTTAAATTAATATTTTCTGTATTATTTTTTAACATTCTGTAAAAATATGCAACTTGGTTATTTCTGATGCTGTACCTTATGGTGTCGCTGCTTTATATTATAAAGGCATTACATGTAGAGCTGGAATGATTAGTCAATTCATTAATTAAATTAAAATCAACTATTAAATTACTATTTTCTCTAAAATTCTCTGATTTCAACTTCTCAAATCTGAATATGTTCTGGTTTCTTTGTCCTCTATGACAGTAAACTGAATATTTTTGGGTTGAGGACGTCACTTTGGGAAACTGATCAACATTTTTCACCATTTTCTGACATTTTATAGACTAAACAACTAATCGATTACTCGAGAAAATGATTGACTGCTTAATTGATAATGAAAATAATCAGTAGTTGCAGCCCTAATTACTTACAACCTGTTGTGCCACCTGAGCTATAGCAACACTGTCAACTGTAATAATAACAATGTGTCCACAATCAGAGGACACCAGCAACACTTCCTGTAAGGTCAATGAGCTCATAAGAAACATTATACAGAGCTCTTCCATTTGTAAACATATATCATACATTTACCAGTATTATTTAAAACGGGTTCACATCACAAACTCTGTCAAACTGTTTAATCTGAGCTCGGGTTCTCCGTCGGCCTCAGTGTTCCTGTGTGTTGCACTGCAGCAAGTTATTCATAATGTCTGATGTAATATATGTTTGTACTGTTTGTGTTGTTGTTTGTTTAAAAGGTTTTGTTATGAATGTCAAACACTTTGGGACGACAAACACTCTGTTAATAAAGTCAATATATCAATAAGGTGTCTCTAGGGCACCTCTCATTGGCCGTTCTCCCCAGGTCAGAGCCTGCAGCCTACATGTGTATGTACACGGAGCTGTCTAACTATATTAACTTTGCCTGATGACCGAAACGTCGTTAGTATCCCTCTTGTGTGTTTGTGTATTCTGACTTCCCAGGTTCTCCATGGTGGAGGGGCGGTCATGTGACTCAGGTCTGTTTGGTGACACCTTAGGTTGATCGACATCCATATTCTTCATATATGTTTACAGTCTAAATATAATTCGATGATTTGTTCTATTTTTTCCCCATTAAAGGAGTTTTTCCTGAATTGAATTGAAGGTCTAAGGACTGATGATGCCGTATGCTGCACCAATTTAAACCATCTTTTGGCAAACTTGTGATTTGTGATATTGGAGCTATATGAGCAGGAGGAGTATTTGAAAAGTGTCCTGAGACAACTTCTGTTATGATTTGCTGTGATACAAATAAAACTGAATTGAATTGAATTAAATTTACTTGACTTTAACAAAGTGAGAATACAGTGTGCAGGATTCTTGTTTTTGTTTCCCATAACCTTCCAATAAAATGTGCTACAATACAATAAAGCTTCAAAACATACACTAGAATTGTATCAACACACTAACTAACTAACTCATTATCAAAATAAAAAAAATGATGTCTCTGTCTCTCTCTTATTTTTGAGACTGAACACAGTTTTGCTCCTCATTCATGGGATGTGAGGTGTGTGCGAGACCATCAGGAAACTGTGAGAAATGCCTTTACAACACACACCACACCAATACACACACCACACACACCACAACACACACACACACAGAACCTTATTGAGTGCACGTTGAGCAGCAGTCTTCGGGTTAATCCGTTCTGTGACACACACCAGTGAGCCCCTAATCTCTTCACACCACACACACACACCACACCACACACACACACACCCACCGAAGCTCTCATGTGACAACAGGAAATGCAGGTTATTTTTTATGAGGCCTTTTAGTAACAGTAATAATTTCTCTTAACAGTGGCAGCCAGTTGGTTTTAATGGCGACAACAGCCCGGCCTGCAGTCTATACTGTAGGTTCTCCAGATTCCTGTTATCGTCTTATTACTGTCTTTAGTCACTCATTCAATTTATATCAAAGGAGAAAGCTTTCAGGACTGATTAAAGAAATCTTTTTTTTTCTGTATTTGCCTTGCTTTTAACTTGATAGGGACTGAATCCGGTCTAGACGTCACCTAAGGCAGAGTCTTTATCGAGACTTAATGTTTTTTCTTCCTCAACACGACTGATAATACACAGCAGGTCAGAGAAACCACTTCCACTACTGTCCCCATTTTACATTTTGAATCAACACGTTTGATGCTGAAGCTTCCGAGCAGCACCTGAAGGCATCGTGTTTCTAAAACGCTGACTTCTGATTTTTTCCAAAGGTGTCTGTATGTGTGTGTGTGTGTGGGTGTGTGTGGAGGATCACCTCTCATCCTCAATGTCACTCTCTCTCTCCTCTCTCTGAGATGGAGGCTCACATAAACACAGAGCCAGAGACTGGCGGAGCAGCTAAACCCATTAGGAGACTCCTCAATGCAAATCCGCTGCTGCAGATATTTAATAAGAGACCTGTGCTGGCAAATCAGATTACCTTGCAATTGGCAGTGGATAATGTGCTAAAAGCTTTCCCACTTAAGCGTTACTCCTTACTGAATATTATTCACACTTTGAGGGGCCAGTGCAGCCTTAAAGAAACAGCCGGCCTGAAAGTGAACAGGGGGAAGAAACAGATGGCGATTAGTGTTGGTGCCTTTTACAGCTGAATACAGGATGAGTCACAGATAAAACTGGGAAATTGAGAAGTAATAGTTGGCTAATGGTTTATAGTTCAAATCCAACTGACTGAAAAACATTGGTGAGATTTAAAAAAAAATAACGGTTAATAAAAGAATAACCACTGTATGTTAACACATGTTCACCTTGTCTTTATGCCTTTATAATATGAGTTTCCAAACTTTTGATGTGATTGTTTCATTGTTTTCATTGATTCCCAGAACTAATTAACCTCAGTTTTAACAACATTTAACCCTCTGGAGGTCATTTTGCCATCTTTCATTCATTTTTGTTTTTGTTGAGCACCTTTTAAACTCCACATGCATAATGTCCTTTTTGTCTGACTTATCATTTTGTCAACAAAGTATAAAGCTACCAGGAACACAAAATACTAGTCAAATTACAAATAATCAATCTTTAGTGATAATCTCTTTTTTTAAAGGTTGGGAAAAAAAGTTTCACTATTTATACACACAAATACCACAGAACATATTAGAAATACAACTATAATAGAGTCTACATGTTAAGTCAAATATCCCAAATTATATTTGAGTCTTTTTCCTTCAGTTTGCCTGTAAATCACTGAAAATAATAAAAATGTAAAATGAAAAAATAAAAAGAACAATTGAACATCACCACTTTCAACTGGTTTTCTCTACATCAGTGATACTCCCCCTCTGACCATTTTCTAATTCAGAATGAAAATGAATTGATTCACAGGGATTTTTTTGTTTGCTAGTTTATTCCAAATGTTCAACAATGTCCCTTGGCTATGCAATCTGTGCAGGGAACAGAGGAGGTGATACTTGATTTCTGCGAAACGTTCACGTACACCCGACCTGCGTGAGGCTGCTGTGACCGGACTTTCCGATGAGTGAGGACAGCAAATGTAAAAAGGTAAATTAATTGATTAGTTATTTGTTAACAATGTGAATAATCACCGTGTGCATACTGAAAGGATCCAAAATATATTTTGTTAGCAGGTTAGCATGCTATACCCGTATGTGCTGACTTTGCAAA